TCAACAGAAACTGGTTGGTTATGCTTTAATTAACATATTAAAATGTAAACATTTGCAATTTGCTCTTTCACAGATCTTTGCATTTATATTTGTATTTCTGTTTGTTTGTTTTTCCAAAGTACATATGGAAGACTTTCTTTTCTTCCTCAGGGTAGTTTTATTCATTCTTAAATTGAAACAGGAGACCTGCTTATTTAACCCTCCAAATGGAAGCACTTAATTCTTTTAAGATAAGCAGCTTTAACCTTCAGGCACAGACAGATGAGAAATGCTAAATGAGATGTCCTATACTCTTTTTTTCTCTCCACAGGAAAGCTGACCCAGATTGTTTTTGGCCACTGGGACGTGGTGACATGTCTGGCTCGGTCAGAGTCCTACATAGGAGGAGACTGCTACATCGTGTCTGGCTCCAGAGATGCCACTCTTCTTCTGTGGTACTGGAGTGGAAGACACCACATTATCGGGGATAACCCTAACAACAGTGAGTGGTGTCACCGTGGAAACAGCCTGTGTTAATGTCTGTTAATCTCTGAGGGTTTCAGCAAGAGTTTGCCGGTTTATGGTCAAAATTTGCCGGTTGGTTCAAAAGTATGCAGAGGAAACAGCTTTTAGGGGATGGACTCATGTGGATGCCTCTCCTGCAGGTGACTACCCCGCTCCCAGGGCGGTGCTGACCGGGCATGACCACGAGGTGGTGTGTGTGTCTGTCTGTGCAGAGCTGGGATTGGTCATCAGTGGAGCCAAAGGTTTGTTCATTTCAAAACATTTAGATTTATTTGTATTTTAGTTTTTTTTTTAACCAACATTGAGAATTTAAAAAAGACACCAACTCAAAAGAAAAAAGCAGTTATAGTCCTGTCTGATGGAAAGGTTTTGTGTAAACTGAACTTGTTGAGCATTAACCAGCATTGTCCAGTTGAAAAACAAAGTGTCTTTAATATCTGTCGTTGTTTGGTGCTCCTCAGAGGGCCCTTGCCTGGTCCACACGATTACAGGGGACTTGCTTCGGGCTCTGGAGGGGCCAGAGCTGTGCCAGCGGCCACGTCTCATCTCAGTGTCCAGTGAGGGGCACTGCATTATCTACTATGAGAGAGGCCGCTTCTGCAACTTCAGCATAAATGGAAAACAGCTGGCCCAAATGGAGGTCAATGACTCCACACGGGTAAGGCTTTTCTGCTGTTGGCATAAACATGCTCTAACTTTTAACCCGTCATCCCGATTTCTGGCACTTTGGAGCACATCAGCCTCCTGTAACTCCTCCTGCTGTCTCTCTTTAGGCCATATTGTTGAGCAGTGATGGGCAGAACTTGGTGACAGGAGGTGATAATGGAGTTGTGGAGGTGTGGCAGGCGTGTGACTTTAAGCAGCTCTACATTTATCCAGGCTGTGACGCCGGAATCCGTGCCATGGATCTCTCACATGACCAGAGGTACAGTGCAACAGAAAATGGATCACTTGCAAAAAGAAGAAACAGTACTGACTTATGGAATTGTCAGTAACGGAGCAGGAATTCCAGCATCTCAAACATAAGATACTTAGTGATAGTCAATGGCAGCATAGACAGCAGTTGTTTGTTTAGAGGATATATCTCATAATTTCTACCCAACTACAGGCAGAGCCTAAAGTAGAGTAGTCATCTAAAGAAATCACCTGTTGTGATTATTGTGTGTGTGTGTGTTTCCCCACGCAGGACTCTTATCACCGGCATGGCGTCCGGCAGCATTGTGGCTTTCAACATAGACTTCAACCGCTGGCACTACGAACACCAGAACAGGTACTGAGGTGGAGACAGCATGAGAACAAGAAGGATGGAGAGAGGCGTGAGGAGGTGAAAACGTTCCTCTGTGTGTCTGAAACACAGGGAAACCACAGATACCGAGACGGAGGAAAAGTACAGTACCAGACCTTAGGCTCTATTTCCTTGATTTGAGGATGCGACAGTGCCGGTGGAAACAGCTTCCTCTGTGCATACTTGTATGTACATGCACATGTGTAACCACAGACACATTATACTCTGAAGATAGACACCAAAACCTGCTAATACAACAGAGGGACTGCAGCGGGGGGCAAAAGAGCATACCAAGCAGACCGTGAGGAGGTTGATCATGCCGGTACCACTAATGGACAGGTGCAGTTTCTGTTCCTTCACACATTTAGATTTTCACAGATATCAATATTAAATCTTTTCTCTTTCATTTCTTCTGTCAAAATTGTGTTTGATCATTTTAATTTGTCTAGAATTCAGTTTTCTAATTCTTTTTGCGGAGAACAAATTGATATTCCTTCGATGGATCTAAAGTGATTAGAAAATCAGACAGAAATGCACCAGCTCGACTCAATGTTCCAAATCTGGTGCTATTGGCTTGATCTTCAATTCACCCTTGAAAATTTAACCAGGGTTTTAATTTCATTTTATTGCATTCAATTTTTATCTGCCAGAGTTCATTTAATTTACTCTTGTACCCACAGCGGGGTTAAATCTGATTTTCATGTAAATATGGCTCTGCTTCCTTCAGAGTCACACTTCTTCTTTCACCACACAAACTGCGCTCATCACCTTTAATTTATTAATGACTTTCTGTATGTAAGATACTGTGTAATAATTATTATAATGTTGACAAGACTGATGGTAAAAAAAATAAACATGGTCTCAAGGATGGTGATTTGCCAGAGAGGGTAATGATAAAGAGATCTTGCCTGTGCCACCAAGGATAACAAACACAAGACTGGCCAGATTTCCTTTGTATATTTGGTGATTGTTTTGTCAAATATGTACATATGGTCTTGGTTCAGGCTTGGCAGGAGACTTACTCAGCTGAATGAGACTGAAAGTGCAGAAGAAACCTTCACTCGCCCACATTTGTTGATTATTTAAAAGGAAAAAAAAAGAGAATCAATTCAATGTAAAAGTTTGTTTTGTATTTGCACTTTGCACCAATCACATATCATAATTTATTAGCTTGGTTCTTTCTGGTCGGCTTCCATTATGTTTAGGTCTTATTTCCTTTGAGATTATTTGTGCATTGATGTTTGTATTTAAAACGTTGAGCTCATGCGTGACTCTTAGTTTTACAACCTCACAGTTGTAAGCAATATCATGATTCTGTAGCGGATAGAGGCGGGGAGGAGGGGGGAGAGAGAATGACACGTGAGATGTACTGTATGTGTGAAGCCATCTTGATCAACGCGCACATGCACATACTCAACAGGTTCAACTTACGTATCCAAAAAAAAGGTTAAATATTTTTGGATCTATGAAACCCTAAAAACTATTGTATTCATGTTTTATTGCAAAGATGTAAAATATGACATGTGTGAGTTGGAAAAAAAATCATGATAAGAAAAATAAAATATGCAAAGAATTTGAGGTTTGGACTCATTTTTCTCATGTAGTTTTTAAACATGTGACTATGAGACCTTGGCAGTGCGAGGAGTTGTCTGGTTTTGAGGAGGAATGTGTTGAGTTTGGTTTAAATGTTTGCAAACACACTCAGTGGAGAAAGCTGCATGTTCATGTCATGTCTCTGGTTCTTCGACACCGTGTAAAAATACAGATGAGGTTTTAAGACTTGAGGTTAAAATGTCAAGTATGTGTTTTTTTTATTTGTGTATTAAGCTTTCATTTCTTGGCTAACTTGAGAACAGAAAGGTCACTTTTTATGTTTAATCTGCCTCTTAAGTGCTGCATTAATGTAATACAAAGAGTCTTCTGTGAGCTGTTTTCGGTCATAAACTTCCTTTGTGCTCATGTGTGAGTGAAGCAGAGATGATGGCATCTAAAACGTTAGTAATTCTCTGGTAATGTAGTGGTACACTGTTATGAATTAAGTCAAGGTACTTTAATCCTCTCAAATCTGTGGCATGATTACATGTATCGAGAATCTGGTTTTCCTCCAAAGGTTTCACTCTTATGCTTTCAAAGATGCATACCTGCGACTGTTATTTTTCTAAAAACTAAGATTTGTCAGTCAGAAGCTGAAGGGAACTCCGAGTGTTATTTTTATGCTGTACACGGCCAAACTGGTGTGTTACTATGATCTTAAGTGCTCACAATAATGGCAGCACAACAAGGGTTTCTCAGGAATGCTGACATCTCTGCCTCCTATTACTGTTTGTAGCTGTCACCTTTGCTTTATCGGCCTTCGCATTCCTCAGAGTTAAGTTCATTTTTAAAAAGTTGATGATTGTTTATGAACACTTTTTTATTGCAATGTCAATTTGAACTTCATGAAAGCCAGATGAAGAGAAATGATTTCCTAGAATGCAGACAGCCTCAGTCTCTGTGGGTACTGGGATCAGATGCTACACGGCATGGAAACCAAGACAGCAGAATGCTGACAGACCTGTCCTGCAGGACTAAAAAGTCATTTTGTAGTGTTTTTGCCACCGGATCTGTTTATAGCTGCAGCTGGCGACAATCTGCCAGTAGTCCTCACGCGTTACTGCTTTTTCCCCCTCTGCCATGTCTACCCCTCAACCTCCACTCGCCTTTGGCTCCTTCTGTTTGGCGTCTTTACAGTTTTAAATGTCTTTTGTACTGTCTTTCCCAAAGTCACCGCGAGCAACTGGAAAACATGCATGCATATCTGTACAAAGTCATATTTTTTTAATATCATTTGGAGGATTAATTTTTTCCGTGTACTCTACAGACTTGATGACACATGCTGTACAAAGGTTCACTTTAAAGCGATGCTATTTCTAAAAAATACAAAGAGCAATAGAAGGTAGTTGTCCTTCACTGGAGTTCAGTGCAATTGGGGAAATCCGTTGTTTGCTTCGTCTTGATTTTTGAAGTCATGTTCAGAGCTGTGTGGTCACCCTGACGCATTCCCTTCATCACGTTGTGAGTTGCGTATTGCACCATGAGGACGAGAATCCACATGCGAGGTGTTCAGCCAGCCAGTCTGAGGCTGACTTAGTGTTTCTGTGTTTGTACGTCACAGTTAGGGACCCGACAGGGATCCATTAGTCTGCACAACACGATCTCCCTGCCACCCCCTTCAGGTGGACAGTGCGGAGATGGTGGACCTCTGAGAGGAGATGCTGCAGATTTCCATGTTGGTGAAGGAGCTTCCTCCCTCGCTGCTGCAGTCGGGGATGGAGGAGGAGGAGGAGGAGATGATGTTCTTCAGCCTGTGAAGGGAGATGATGAGCAGTGTCAGCAGGAATACCAGCAGGCCGAGGAAGAGCCACACGTACACGTAAACATTGCCCTGACGTCCGGGGGACGAGGCGGCCGCCGAGGTAGACGCAGAGGTGGGGAAGAAACGGAGGAAAGTCCCGTTAGCCACCGGGGTGATTCCAGTGTCATTACGGTCCACCAGTAGGACATCCATCCCTGACATCCTGACATGGTTGTCGGGAGAGAGGGAAAAAAAAAAAGATGAGATTTATTGAGAACAAGCAGAAAACCCACACAGCTTTGACATGAATTATTTAAATGACCCAAAGAAGAACTCCTCTTTTGTCTGCTGGAAGCTGCCAGAGATTTACCGCCTCCCTCCAGGACACTTGGGCATGACAGATGCCTGCTGACTGGTGATTTAACCCACAGCCTCCCATAAGTGCTGAGGAGCCTTCAGTTGAAGATTAAAAGGAAAACGGAGAGCAGCTCCGCTCTTCTGATCTTTCGCCAACAAATTACAGCAAAATGCCGAACTTCTATCAAATAACATTTGCAAGCAGTAATATATTTTTAATCCTCTGGCAACACAAGATGGCATTGGGGAAAATAAACAGCCAGCCATCAATATCTGAGAAAGTATAACCGTAAAAACGATAACGATAAAAAAAACGACTTGTTTTAGTGTTTTTTACAGGGAATAATATTAAGGAAGCTGCTCATTTGGGAGGAGCTGCTTTAGGTTTCGGGACCAGCAGGGGGAGTGCTGGCCTCACCAGACCCCCGTCAGGCCTCCTGCCAGCTGCAGTCTGCTCACAAATGAAGGCATCCTTATCTGATGAAATTAAACTCCTCATAATCAGCTTTTCGCAAAGTCAACCGAGGGCCAGACCTCTCCGCCGAATATTAAAACCGCTCGTGTTTCATCTCCAGAATGGCTGAAAACTGACTGGGTGATGGGAAGTGGGAGTGCAGTGAAGCCTTTGCGGTGGTGAGAGATGGAGAACGGGAGGGAGAGGAGTCGATTTGTATTTGGTTCAGCTAATGTGGCCCTGTGTCTTGACTTGATCTATGACAGCGAGGGGAGACACTTCAAAGGGAGGTATAAATGACCGTGACTAGAATGAAAGCAAAAGGTCAGCGCACACTTTTCATCTTGCGGCAGTGTGTGCTCACTTTGCTCTTATCTGCCAGCCCGGCCCCGCTCCCCCATTTCCATTATTCATTTCACCATGGCCTATATACATGCCTGACTACTGGCATGATATTGAGGAGAGTAGAGTAAAATATATTTGCTCTCCAAAAGCCGTTTGAACTGCGTTAATTGAGTGTGTGGCCCCCATTAAGGGAACGGGTCTTTTTGTGCAGCGTATGACGACAGCAACAGACGGCACTCGGATAAACACTAAACCCACTCTGGAATGTTCCCATTTCACCGTAGAAAGACCGCCGCCACTTGCTGTGATGGATATCTTTGGCATCGGTAACAGGATGACAATGGTTACGTTTTATTTTTATTTTGAATCCATCTTTTACTGTTTACTTTTGAATAAATGCCAAAAGAAATCATCGATTCATGGACTTAAACGTTTCCGTTGTAACTATTTAGGTTTGTGCTTTTTGTGTAAAATCTTTAATAAGCATTGACATGCAGTTTTCTTTCTGATCCAAGTAGTAGAGATGGTTCGTCGAAAATGTGCTACAAAACAAAAGAAAAGGAAATATAAATTCTTAAAGCAAATATTGTGCATCTAGGCTTTAAGGAACCAGGCTGTGTTTCGAGGTAACATCCAAGGCTGGAGTGAAATATGAGAATGAGCCGGAAACATTAACAATCAGTGGTTCAGTTCTGATGTTAATAGTAGATTGCATTTTAAAAATGACCGACCTGTAAATAGTATCTGAGATATTCAAGTTGTCTGAAATACATTTACATTGAAAAGTGCCATAATACCAATTTGATACTCTCCAAACTAGCATGTGTATTTTGTAAAGCTGTACATAATCAAGCTGTGGAGCTCAACACTAATGATGTAGAGCTCTTCTAAGTTCATATTCAATCTTCAAACCTCATATTAGTGCAGATAAATGCAATTAAACTCAGTTAATTTATACAGTCCCAAATCACAACATTTGTATCATAATGACATTTGCAATGGAAAATACAAGTTGGTGTTAGTCCAATTAAATTCAGATAAATGTTATTCAAAGATGCTATTAATTATTATCTGAGCGATCAGTTCATGTCATTTGAATTTGGCTTTTGATCTTTCCCATACATTGCCCTTGAATGTTACATTAGCATTGCTGCTGAACATTAGTAAGATGTTGCTCTTCATGTCATTCCAACATGACTCATTCCAGTGTAGATCTGCCATCAGTGTTTCTTAGGAATATTGCATAAATATTGGATAAGAACTAAATTAGTTACCATTTTCTTGGTCATAAATGTTATTTGAGCTCGTTATTTAAAGTGTACATTATTATAACAGATAAAGAGGGCATAGAGGTATAGAGAGATCTTTTGAGAGATCTACACATATTTTATTAACCTATGTCAAGAGAGTTCAACAGGAAGTTTTCACTGTCAAAAACGCATCAGCTGAAGATGGAATTGGGTACTTCGCTTTCCCGGTGTAATAAGTCATAAGCACGACCGTCAGATAAAAGTTCCACTTGAAATAAAACTTTCCTTGCTCTTGTTTGTGAAATTTAAACAAATCAATCCGTCCTCAAATTATTTTCTTCCCAGCGTGTTCCTTTCCTTTCAAGTCTTTGTCTGACTTGACGTTTCACAAGAACTTTTTGATACGTGGCCTGAGGTCCCTCTGGTGTGATGCGCTACGCAATGCAGATGGATGAGCTGCATTCTTCCTCTGATTCAGTGCTCTGCTGCCCTGACTTTGTTTTCTTTATCAAATGCTCCCTGCGGTTGACTCATCCATGGAAAAAAAAAAGGTTTCTGTTCATTTTGTTTTTTCCCTCTCCCTAGACCCTTGTCAGAATTGAAGCATGTCCGTCCATTGCTCAGACACAGCCCTCATCTCCTTCTCCAGCCCTTCTGATGTAGCGGTAAGTCTGCACCAGCCTCACCGACTGACATTTTTTGACAGTCTGCATTCCAGGCTTATTGAATAAGTGTCCCCTGAGAAGGAGACCTGTCAATTTACTAACGCCACTTTTCTTTCCTGACACTTTGCCACCACCTCCACCGCTGTAATTTCCCCTTCTCCGGCCGACTCTTTGCTTCTCTGTGTAGGTTATGGTCCTCCGTGATATGTTGTTTTGAAATCTGTGATGAAGCTTGTTCATTCTGAGCTTAAGTGGCTGATAATTGTGCCTAATGATGCTTTTTGTATCCAGGCAACAACGTACGCTCAGTTCTTTTTCAAGCTAATCTACTTTAAAAGGCCAAGCCACGCAGTCCTGCAGTGTCGAAAGAGGTTAGGCATACGCGTGCATTCACCTGCCCGCCCACACATGATAGATGCTGCTAGTTATTTTCCTTTGGGATAGCTGCAACTGCATCGCACAGAAAACTAAGCGTTAATTGGAAAAAATTATGTCTTTAATTATGGAAATAATACAAATGGAAGCTGTCTCACTCGTAGATTTTCAGATAATGTAACATATTGGATCTGAGCTATTCATTCCAGTTTCCAGATAGTCAGAGATGTTGCGCATTTTATGTTTAATCGATGTGTTGGCGTGACTGATGACGCAAGTCTTTTCTTCTTTATTTCAATATCTCCATTACTGTTTGTACTCCCTTTTTAAATAGTCCTCTTATGGTTCACTGTGTGCGCTTGATTTGAAAAGGAAATAACACTGTGTATTATGTTGTTTAGGCCTCAAATGAACCTTAAACTGAAATGAGTTGAAATGGAAAAATTGTTGAAATCCCACAAATTCAAATAAGTGCAGTGTGTGGCTGATGCTCCCCCAGTTTCCTTTGCTTGCCGTCAGTCTGAGGAAAAAGTTCTGCAGCTCTTATCAAACTCAGTTTACATCCTCTCAGAGCTTTTCCAAATCTGAAGTGGCTTTTATTGTTTTGTTTAGTCTTTTTCTATACCCCAAACAAGAAGAAATAGTCAGACTGACTTCTTGCACAACTGCTCCTGCTTTTCATAACAAGATATGGCTCTTTTATCCAGTTATTTCACTGTCAGCACAGGTTCCTTTGCCTTGTTAAGAGCTTTAGATAGATTCTGTATAGCTTTTACCTGCCTTCCTCTAACAAATCTCTCTCTGCGAGTTGTCTTCCCTTGCCTAATCAATCTTGTCTTGAGTACATTTTGCCTGCCACCGGTCAGTATTTACGAGGGTAGCTGTCTTTTGTCTGGGTAAAATTCCCCCTTCGACCTACACAATCTCTGCAAGTCCCCCCTCAAACAATCTCATCTTCTCCTCGTTGAGCACATTCAGCCAAACTCCTCCCGAGACATTGTGCCGCATAGCTTCCTCTGCTCCACTTTCTCAATCTGTTTCCTCCACCCTTCACACGTTTTTCTCCATCGCTGAATAATCCTCACTGCCACTCTTCCAGATACATTTCGCACAATTCGCCTCATCTTGTACTTAATCTGTCATCCTATTTGATTTGTGAACCTTTATTGGTGTAAAAGTACATACGGTACCTTGGGAGGCATACCTTAGGTGATTTGTGCACATGAATTTGAACTAACATGGCAATAAGGTCACTGGAAAATATTGCCATTTGAAGATAAATCCTTTTCACTATGAAAAAGAAGTACTTCCTTGTCGTCAGTTCTCTATGAACATTTCTATTTAAATTGATCCTTTGTTTTTAGTTACTCTTTATTAAAAAGCAACTGTTCCCATAATTGAATTTCATTAATACATACACAGATGTTAGCTCGTTCAAAGTCTAACAGAAGCAGCCTCAGACTCCCTGCTGCTACCAATTAAACTTGGGGATCTGTGGGACAGAAAGCAGCCGGCGATTACTCCAGTTTCAACAACCCGTGCCTGCAGCATGTGCAAATGTTTATTAAAATGCAAACTTCTAAGCGAGACAGATTCTGTTGTCTGTTACGTTCTGACATTAGCTCTGCACTTCATGAATAATGTATGAGATCTAGATGTGCCAGAATGTCATGGCATTTGGGCCGTGCACTTTGTGTGTATGTGTGAGCACGCTGTCGTACTTTAATTCCTCCACATATAGAGACTCTAAAAAGCATCCTGGATCGCATTAAAAAA